GCCGAAATGGATAGACTAACACTGAAAATCAAAGGAAAAGAAGATACAAAATATTATCAAACATGGGTCTTGTTCTATCAATGGTTAGGACAACGTTGTATAGATTAGGAACGTAATGTGTATGGTAGTTGTTTTAACAAATGAATATAAGCTGTACTCAGGTGGCACGATGTTAAATCAACATGGATGGATTTTATATAATAAAAAAACTCCCCAAAAAAAGAGAGAGATCAAGCCCTGCCAAACTCCTAGAACAGCCTCTGGTGGTGGCCTCAGAGATAAATCACGGGGGGTATGTAATGCTTGTGGCAGCTGCTTCTCTTCGTTTAGGGCCAATGTACAACGTGTGCGCTCCCCAGATATTATTGGATTGCAGCTCGCATAATCCTCCATCATTGGCTATGTTAGCCGCTGCAAGTGGGAAATGCATTTTGACAGTAATTTGGGGCAGCACAATTTCCCCATTCCTCCTGCTTCACAGAGGAGTGGGAGGAAACGGCCTGTTACTGAAACAAAATCATTTATCAACAGAGTTCAGTAGTTATGGATCGGCAGCAGATTTCGTGGGTTAATACTTGTTGGCAAGTCATTATGAAGTGAGTGGTATTGCCCACTCACTAAATGGAAATGGGGGTTTGTGATGGGGAAAAAACATGAAATTATACCCATAGCTATACAGCAGTTAAGGCCACCCTTTCCTTCATGCATTTAGCCGGATTTTTGCTAATGGTAACCACCTAACGTTATAGCAAAGGATAATGTTTCATGCATTTCATGGTGAATTTTAGTAGCCGTGTTAGTCTGTGCAAGAATGTCAGGCAAAATCTAAAGAAAACAAAACAACAAATGAAAAACATGTGGCACCTTAAAGACAATTATATTTTAACATGAGCTTTCATGGACATGTCCACTTCATCACACATATGGAAACTCTGTATGAGACAATCAATATTTGGTATGAAACTGGTACCCCATCTGTTGAGGTCTATTCCTAAGGCCTTCAGATCCCGCTTGGACAATCAATATTTGGTATGAAACTGGTATTTCATTCAACTTTTCACTCTGTTTCAATATGACTGACAAAGTGGATGTGTCCACGAAAACTCACATTAAAATGTAATAGTCTTTTAAGGTGCCACATGTTTTTGTTTTGTTTCTTTGGATTTTGCCTGGTGTGGTGAATTTTAGTGCATGGCAAATCTCTTTAAGGTGCCAAGATATTGTTTTCCATGATGCATCTTAACATAATCTGCCATTCTAGACAGGCCAATGCTATTTTTGTTCTTAAAAACAAGGTAATCATTTATTGTATTTATTTTATTTATATGCCGCCTTACTTCCAGAATTGTAGCTTACAAAACAGTTAAAAACAAGAGAAAATTAAAATACAATAAAATTACAAATATGAAAATAGATTTAAATTCATTAGCCCAAATACTCTTATTTAGTAACAGTGGTGTAACGTAACCACTTAATTTTTGAAGGTGAATTGCTTCCAGGGTAAGAAATCACAATAGACACTATCAGTTGCATACTGACTACCACTTCGCTAAATTATTAAGAACAGCTTGCCTTAAGATAAAAAGACCAGCACATCACTTAAATAAAATCTTATGATCTGAGACTGTTAATTGTTAAAGGCCTGCTGGAATGAAATGTCTTAAGTCTGCCATCAGAAAGACAGCCAAGGGGGTAAGAAGGGTTAGTGTCTCTAGGCAAAGAGCTCCAGAGCCTGGGAGTAGCCACAAAGATGGTCCTCTCTGGAGACCCAACCCAATAAAGGTGATGGGCCCATCAAGTCCAGCCTCCATAAGATCCATTGATTCAAATGGGCCTACTCTAGTTGTGACTCACCAGGCTAAGCAACAGGAGTTCAGTCAGTATTGTTTGCACTTCAGATGGGTCTCTAACAAAATAAAAGTCAGCTGGAACCCCCCACCCCACCCCAGCAACCTTTCCAAGTTCCAAAGGACAAGTAAAAAAACCTTCCATGGTTTTACTGCCTTACTTATCATATAGCATTTGACTATAAAGAAGCTGATACTTGCTATAGTCTCAAGTAAGACAAATCTAGAAGCTTTCTGGATACTGGGTCTGCCAGCCTGAATTCCAAGAGCCTCTCCCCTTTCAACATCAAACTCACCCAACCAAGCAGGGATGGGATTTTCGTGTTGAAACAAGTGGAGAAAACATAAAAGAAGCTCTAACTTTACTATTCTTTCATCCATTCTCTGTAGAAAGTTTCTGAAGTGCCAAGGCTTTGTTCCAATGAAAGACTGGCATATGAAATTTTCATATTCTTTCAGCTTCTTTCTTTTATTTGACCCTAAACTTGAATTTTGCCACAGAAGTGAATTAGCCCCAGGCATCTGCTGAGCCTCAGACATTTGGTTCCCATTTGCTCTCAGCTGCACCAGCCGCCCCCTGTGAGAGCTGCTCTTCTCTGCACCCCCCCATCCGCCTCCTCCGTACAATTAATTACCCATCACCCCACCATTAGCTCACTCCGTTAGGAGGACAGAGGCAGACCCTTGTCCCAGAGGGATGGAGGATGAGTTTCAAGCCAGTTCTCAGGATTTTTTCCTAAAACAAGGACAAATCAACCAGCCAACAAATAAGTCAACATGGCAAACTGGGACCAGAGCGAAGGAGAAGGCTCTAAAGCAACTCGGTGCAGGTTGCTATATCAAGGCCTCTCTCCACGTTAGCTCAAACCCAAACTCCTTGATTTGCCTGCTGTCTCTGCGCTAAAGCCTGTTGTTTCTTTCACTCTCACTTCTTGAGCCCATGGGAGGAGGAAGCAGCTGACCTACTGGCCCCTTCCACAGTCAGGGCGGCTCAACGCTGAGCTGGAAAGTCATGGTAACACTGACGCCTCCTGTGATGTCCTGCCCTCCCTCCTGGATTCCCCCTCTGTTATAACGGGAGGAACCTGGGTGAGAAGAGGCAGCCAGCCAGCCGCTCGCGGGAGGCTTTGGGAAAGGGCTGCCCTGCCTCACCCCAGTGGCTTTCCCTGCCTCTCCTTTGCAAATGGAAAGGGAGGCATTTTTGGGGCTCGCAAGACAGAGGTGCCAGCCTTGGTGCAGCATTTGGAACTTTGTTCCCGGAACCCAGGCTGCACCTCTATGAGGGAGCGGTGGACGCGCTCCTATTCGCTGCCTTCCCTCAGTTTGGCTGACAGCTAGCCATGGGAAGGTGGCATGGCAGTGAGAAGACGACGCCACATGACCCGCCACCGCCGCCAAGCAAACAAGCACTTGCGAGTACCACCCACAAAGGCACTGAGGTGGGGGTACAAAGTGTCCCCTTTGCCTGCATGGCTGCCCAAAGGGAAGAGGAAGCTCTCACCCTGCCCCATCATTCCCCTTTTGTAATGTGTTCTTTTAGAGCTTTAGTGGCAGTAGAAACTGGGACGAAAGGAAATGACCTGAAAGGACAGGTAACTTCCGTTTGACAAAACCCACAGAAATAATAATGTGAAACTGCTCATCCACATGCCTATACAATTTCGTTTTTTTGCAAAACACAATGAAGAAACAGGTGTCACAGTGGCTGTAGAAAATTGGTCACTGCTGGTTTATTTGTTTTAGAAGCTTCTATTATTGATAATGGGAATGTTTAACAAACATATTGAAAGTAAAAAAGAACAGAAAGTGACAACTGGGTCATTGGGGTTAGAGAAGCCACCACAGGAAGGAAAAAAAAAACCAGCCCCTTCCCTCAGTCTGTAATTCTCCTCTTTCATTACAGAAAGTGACAACTGGGTCATTGGGGTTAGAGAAGCCACCACAGGAAGAAAGGAAAAAAAAAACAGCCCCTTCCCTCAGTCTGTAATGCTCCTCTTTCATCCCCTGAACATCACACTCTTGTGAGCTTGGCTCTTTTCCTTCCAGGTCTGAAAATGCTGTGGTAACTTTATTCTTCCCATTTGCTTTCCCTCTGTTCTCTTTCTGCTTGCCAGCAAGATGGGCTGAAACATCACTAAAGAGTCATCTAATAATCTTAGAATTGCAGAGCTGGAAGGAGCCCTATGGATCATTGAGTGAGTCCAGCCCGTCAAGGAGGGACAGCGGGGAATTGAACTCACGGCCAGAGAGCTAAACCACTGAGCTTTCCAGCAGTTCATACTTCCAGTGAACAGCTAACTCCCACCTTTTCATTTGCTGATCAAGAGGAACTCCTCACACAAGCTGCCCAGATCTATAGGCTGCTTTTCCCCTCTCCAGCCACAAACTTGCATCATGCTTTCAGGTGCATTAGTACACCTCTAATCCCAATCCTCTACTACAGCAGTGGTTCCCCACCTTGGGTAATCCAGGTGTCCTTGGACTGCTACTCCCAGAAGCCTTCACCACCAGCTGTGCTGCCCTAAGTTTCTGGGAGTTACAGTCCAAGAACGCTGGGGTTAACTAAGGCTGGAAACCACTCCTCTTCTAGGGCATAGGAGCCACGGTTCATGAAAGGCCAAACCCTCGCGTTCCATTCTTCCCAATCTAGACATCCAGTATCACTGTGGATATTGTGCATCAACACCCAGTAATACTGGCATTCTAAAATATTCGTCTTTTCAAATCGTTTGAAACAAATTCTTCAGATGAGCACCTTTGACAGCATTCACACAGAGGTGAGAGGCCTACCCTGGAGCCAAAATGATTGTCTGTTCAGCAATTACAACCACTCATCATCTAACACCCATGAAAGAAGAGGTTTTACAGAAGCCCGCTTCCATTATTTTCATAAACTAGCATAATGGATTCAATAAAGAATAGCAGTCCTATTTGCTCTCTGTTTCTCTTAAAGTCCATTTGGTATCCAAATATTCCTTTAAAATTTATTATACTTCCATTTATATATATTTATTTATATATGTATATATTGAAATAAAAACAGGGGAGGTGACAATTAAATTGTTACTCTTAAGACTTAAATGATCACACAAGGAAGTGCAAGAGTATTATTTCTCTCTTTTTCTTTCCCCTCCTCCTTTATCCACAAAGAAATCATGGGGGACAATGCCTGGGTTTTCCTTCAGCCAGGACTGAATTAAAACAGAGAGAGCCAAGCCAATGAAATAAAAATAGAATGGTTTCACCCAATTTTTGGCAGTTTAGAGAAACCTTCAGTCCTCCAACCTAATACAAGAATGGTAAAAGGGTGAGATTTACAAATTAAAAAATGTTCCATATCTATATAAAATAAAGCTCATTAAAAAAAGCAAGGAAGGAGGAGGAAGAGGTGCTACGCTATGCAAACGTCTTGAAAGGGAGTCAGTTTTCCTGCTTCCCTCCCACCTCGATTTCCCACAGTGAAGGTGCAAAGGTATATAAAGAGGGGAGTGAACAAACCCAGGTAGGCATCGATACACTCCTCACACAGTGTTAAAGAAATGCCCTACAAGTGACATTTATAAACAGGGCAGGGTTAGGGAAACGCACAGATCCACTATTCCTAGCATTTCTGAATCTTGAGTAGAGGTTCGAAGGTTATGGTCCCACCCCTCGACAGGACACAGTCAATCTCTGCTGCTTCTGGTGAAATCTGGTGTTTTTAGCTGTTCACACCCACTTTTCCACAGAAGGAAATCATATCCATGATGAACGTGCCCACCCTTTCTCTTTGAAGGGACAGAAGTTAAACACTTTGAAATACGGAATGTCAGGGGAAGGGGCGGGATTTCAGAAAGGAACCTGGCCTATAACAGCAGAGGGGAGGGGTCTCCAAAGTTGATCAGAATAATAGAAGTCTGAGCAGGGGTAGGGCAAGGGGTGGGGCCTCATCCAGCTCCTCCTTTCCCACTCGCCAAAGTCCAAGTGCTACCATCACGAATCATCTTCCATGCTGAAACTGGAGCGGCGGCTGCTGCCCTTGGAGGCACCGGGGGAGACAGAGGAGAGCAGTGGGTCAGAGGCGCCGAGTGGGGATAGAGCAGTCCCATCATCCATGAGCACGTCCTGCAAGGCGCCCCCATCCGATCCCAGGGCAAGGCCCAGCCCCAGTTCTTCGGCGGAGAAGGGCAAATCGAGGGACTCTGCAAACGTGGGAGCTGGGTCTCCTCCCAAAGGCTGCGCCAGCAGTCCCTGCGTCGAAGTCAAAGGCAACCCGTGCATCTGGACCTGGAGTTCCAGCTCCTGGAGAAGAGATCAGAGAGGCAGGCTGATGAGACCCAGCAGCATGCTTGAATCTTACACGTGGGCCTTTCTCCACCCCTCCTCGCCCAGCACCCTCCTTTTCTACCTGCACTCGCAGCTGCAGGCTGCGGTTAGCTTGCTCCAACTTGCGCTGTCGGAGCTCCATCTCCTTTGATCGTTGCTGCTCTTTCTGCAGCTTTCGGATATAATCCACCGACGCTTTCAGGATGGTTCCTTTATTCCAACGCATCTCTCTGAGGACAGAGGAGAAGAGGAGCTGAGCAGCTAAGAAGCCGAGACCCTTAAGCTCCTGCCCTCAGTCCCATCCTATAAAATCCATTCTATGGGACTGTTAAGAGAGCCCTTCTCTAGGACAAGGGCAGAGAAACCCACTGTAGTCTTTTTAGCATTTCTTGGACTCCAGTTCCCATCAGCACCGGCCAGCATGGCCAGTTGTAAGAAACACTGGGAGTTGTAGCTCATCCCCTTCTGCAGGAACAAAAATTCCTCAGCCCTGGCCTACGGCAACATCCTCTGCACACACACACACACACATACACAAAAACACCAACCCATCTGCCCATGTGTTTGTAAAAAGTGTAATGACAGGCTACCTACCCGTCATTGTAGTTCTCAAGTGGACCTCTGTGATTCACACGGTGGGTAATCCGTGCATGCATGGAACCTTGTTGAAATATTCTAGAGTTTCTGCAGTAGCAAAGGAAAATACATTAGCACAGACCCCTCACCCCTGGTATATGTACCTTGGCGCCAAGGCTCTCCCTTCAGTTTAGGTGAACCACCGCATAAAGAAAAGGGTGTGACAGTGGGGAGGCTGGGTTGGGACGTGTGAATCACAGAAGGTCCACTCGAAGAACTACAGTTACAAGTAGGTAATCTGTCGTTCTTCTTCGTGGCTTCTGTGAATCACACTATGGGTGACTAAAATGCTACCGTACCCCGAGGAAGGTGTCACGTCAAGGTAGATGATAACACAGCACACCCAAAAGCAGCCACAATTACAGAAAAGTAGACCTTGAGGGACAAGAGAGAAAGACCCTTAGTTTTTAACTGCAATAAAAAACTTAAAACAGTGGCAAGAGAGGAGTTGGTTGAGGAAAAAGATGACGCTGCAGTAAAAGCTTGGAACTGTTTCCATTTATACATATAGGCCTCCCTGATTGAAGGTTTCTTTGCATGATGAATGACATACATCAGTGAGGCTGAATCCTCCATGCTGCAAAATGAAGAGCAGGGAGATCTGGGTGGAGAATTTGATTTTTTGTTCTTGTATGAGCAGGAGAGGTAGACGGGGCAGGTTGATAAATGTCGGACAGCTGGTGGAGAATTGGGAAACATGGCTGTCGCAGGTACCATGGAGCTATCAGGATAGCATTGGGCCTGTCCTGCTGAAGCTGGACTACAACTTTGTGGAGGAGCGGGAACCGTGGAAACAGGTAAATGAGTGACTTGGGCCAATGGCCAATGAATGCATCTCCGCAGGATTTCCTGCCTACTCCTGCATGGGAGCAGTAACTCTTGTATTTCCAGTTCACCCGGGAGGCAAAGAGGCTGATGGTGGGTGTGCCCCATTGTTTGCACAGGGAGAGAAAAACAGATTGATCTAGCTTCCATTTGTGGGCTTGTGGTGGTTTTTTTTTTGTGTTTTTTTTTTTGACTGAGGAAATCTGCCAGGCTGTTGTCTTGACTGGCTATACGCACTGCCGTGAGACAAATGTGATGAGAGAGGCACCAATCCCACAGGTCGACAAGCAAGGCATAAAAGACTTAGGGAGTGAGTGTCCCTTTGTTTGAGAATATAATATATCATGGTGGCATTGTCTGTGGCTATTTGAGCCATTTTGCTGACAAGATGGTTTTTGAAAGCTTTGCAAGCTTTTATTACCGCTAAGAGTTCTAGCTCATTGATATGGAGCAGTTTCTCTCTTTGTGACCACCGGGCATAGATTTGCAGAGATCTGTAATGGGCACCCCAGCCAGTAAGGCTGGAATCTGTAGTAACCTGGATTTGTGGGTGGGGTTGTTGAAAGGGCCGTCCCATCGTCAGGTTCTAGGCAGAGTGCCACTATGTAAGCTGGGAGGTGAGTTCTGGAGTGACTCGCAAGAACATATGTGGTGAGTCTGTCAATGGCTTGAACAAGGCTAGGAAACATGCCTGGAGTTATCTCGCGGCCCGCTCCCTTTCTCCGCCGGCGGGTGGCTCCTGAGCAGCAGTCAAAGAGCAGCAGGTGACTTGCCCACCAGGGGGCGCCTGACGCCTCCTCCTCCTCCTCCGGCACTGGCTCCAGCAGCTGCTCGCCAGGGCAGCCACATCGGGCTTCGGTGTCAGGGCTCCCATGGGCCTTGCTGTAGAAGCGCCACAACACCTGCCGCACAGAGGGTGAGAGGCTCTTCCAGCCGCATCAGGCCTCAGTGTTAGGGCTCCTGTGGGCCTTGCCGTCGAAGCACCACAACACCTGCCACACAGAGGGCGAGAGGCTCTGCCAGGCCTGGAAAGCCAGCAGCACGGAGAGACCCCACAGGAGGAGGCAGGACCCTGGGGGGAGGTCTTTTGAATTTTTCCTGGGCTCTGTCAGACCGGCTAGGGAAAATACTTTCCTTGGCTACTGCTTCTATCATCTGGCATTCAAGCAGGCACTTGATCTTTCCCGCTGGTAACTCCTCTAACAGAAAAGCCATTTAAACTGCCGTATGCCGCTGACCAGGGCCCGTCACCATCCACCATGGCTTGGTTGCAGCCGGGCCAGAGAAAGGGGCGATCGGGCAGCCAGGGACCCCCCTCCAGGCAGAAGATGAGGAGGAGGAGGAAAGGGGGTTAGGGTCACGTCCTCATTACCCCCAGGATTTTCACTTTTACCCCATTTGGGGTAATTTACCCCTGTTCCCTGACCACTGTTCTAAGCGGAGTGCCACTATGTAAGCTGGGAGGTGAGTTCTGGAGTGACTCGCAAGAACATATGTGGTGAGTCTGTCAATGGGTTGAAAAAGGCTAGGAAACATGCCTGGAGTTATCTTATTTTGAGGTGAAGGAGTCTATAATTGTTCCTATATAATGAACCAGCCTTGTTGGTTTTAACTTGGATTTGTGTAGATTTACTGCAAGGCCGAGATCCTGGAGAAGAGACAACGTGAAGCAAATGTCTTGTTGTACTTTGTGATGGGAGCGTGCTACAAGCAGCCAGTCATCCATGTATGGGGAGATGTGAATTTTGTGAAGTGTGAGGTAAGCTGCCACAGGGGACATGCATTTGGTGAATTCCTGGGGAGATGTTGTGAGTCTGAATGGAAGTCCTGTGAAACTGGTAGGCCTGAGTTTGAGTTAGAAGCATAGGTAGGGCCCATGAGAAGGATGAATGGATACATGAAAAATAGGCGTCTCTTGGTCTGTGATTGTGAACCAGTCTTTTCTGCAGAGTAAGGGGAGGACAGACTTGAGGGTAACCATAAGGATCTTGGTGGTAGTGATGTATTGATTTAGCTCCCAGAGGTTGAAGATGGGGTGAAGGCTTTCATCTTTTTCGATGATGGTGAAATAGCGAGAGAGAAAACATCTGACTGTGTGTTGTAGTGGTATTGGTTCTATGGCATCTTTGAGTAGTAACTACTGTATTTCTTCTTGCAGAGTTTGCGATGGAGGTGTGACGGTGCGGGAAGCTGGTGGAATTCGATGCGGTACGCGTTTGTTATGATGGAGAGCACCCAGGCAT